ACATTTAAAAATTTTGAGAGTAACCATTAGATAGACATAGATTGTTTAACTTCTAAGTCAGTCAAAGGAGGAAAGTAACAAAAATGAATGCCAAAGAGAAAATTTAGTGAACAAAATAATGGAACTGGAATTCAACACAATTAGTTTGAGAGGAGAATACTAAGAACTGGACCCTTCTGTCTTCCAGATGGTTGCATGGCAGCTATGCAAAGCACTGTGGGTATCATGTCAGAGTGGTTTACAAACTGAAGTGCTAATATAAGCCATGCCTTCACAATGTTTATATTCTAAGAAAAATGGCATTGGTATCAGTTTTTGAAGTACTTAAGAAAGTTACTGGGTAGCTGTGAATAATGCTATAATTTTAGGAGCAAATAGTGAAGACAGCTGAAGTTGTACATTCATCATTAGAAAGTTCTTTGAAAATGTGATATACAGTATTAGTAAATAGTTTACCTAAATCATGTCTACTTTACTTAATCATTACATTTCTATCCAGCAAAGGAAGTAGAAAGAACAAATAAGGTGATATGTTTAATGTAAAATTAAAACACATTTTTAAAAAAAAATTTTGTTACCTGCCATGGGAAATATTGAATATTCTTGTTGCTTTTCTTTAGTGTCATGATGCATTCAGATTTCAGGATACCACATGCACACTTCTCTTAATTGTGAAGACAAAATGAGGAGAAAAATGAGGACCTTCCAAGTCAAACATGAAGTTCTATTTGTGTTAACTATTGAAGTCTTATTCCTTAATGCTGATTATTTTGTGATAATTCGTGCATACTAGGAGCATAGTGAAATTATCAACTATAGGTTACTTACTATAGGTACTATGGATTAACTCAGAAAATGTAATTTGGGCAAGCCTAACTGTGGTGGTGCAGTGCCTAAGGCATTTGACAACTAACCAGAAGGTCGGTGGTTCAAATCCACCAGCTGCTCCACTGAAGGAAGCTGGGGCAATCTACATCCATAAAGATTTACTGCCTCAGAAACCCAGGGGGGTTGCTATGAGTCTTAATTGACTCAACTGCAGTGAGTTGGGTTTTTGGTTAGATGTATGTGCATCTGGTTTTTCAATTCAAACATTCTCATTCTTTTTGGATTGTTCTTCATATAAACATTTCACACAATTTTAAATATCGGGATTGTGCATGGCAAAATCAAAGGTTTAGTGAGTATCAATGCTTATTTGTCCTTAGAAAATTTAACTTGGTCTTAGATGTATTTTCTGTGTTGGGATCTACCACTTTTTTTTTTCCCCAAAAGCTGAAAATTTGTTATTCCTTTCCTTCTGTGATGCAGCAATCACAGTGTCATTGAACTGGAAGTAGCTTTAAGAATCTATTCCATAATCCTATTGATTATAACTAGTGGACATGGTTGGCTGATCATTTCTCTAGGGATGGGAATTTCTTGACTTCAAGTTAAATATTGTTTCAGTGTTTTATTACCATGGTGGTCAAGGAACTCCTGTGTCGGTTTAGTCTATGAACACCTCGGAGAAAACTGTTGGGAATAACTCGAATGTATCAATGAAAAGAAAATAGATTGTTGGAAAGAACAGCCATACTGAGCACTGGCCACCATTCTGGTAACCATTTCCTTTGAACTCTCACGTAGGAAAGAACTGTTTAAACAGTATTTGCTCAACAGAGCACAGGGGCAGAGATTTCCTGAAGTTACCTTGTCCTTTTGAACTTTGTACTCTGCTATTCTTTTGGAGTACATAAATTCTAAGAATTTGCTTTGCTTTCAGAGTATTTGTTTCCTTCCTTGAGCAAGTATTAAAAGTTTCCGATCATATTAATAATCAAGAAAATTGACTTGCTTGGAGTGGACAGGTGTGCTCCTGAGAGACTGAAGCCTAGTTTAAATGAGTTATGACTTGAATCCTCACCACGCTGGACAAAAGCTGTTTAAAGGCAGCCCTAGAAGAGTATAGTTCTCTTGTGCCTTTTTCATACTCTGATTTATTATATCCTATATATAGTTTTTTTCATACTCTCATAGTCATTTATTATATCCTACAAATGTGGATCACTTTTCCCGTGTTCTAGATGATGATAGACAACATAAAATGACCCTTCCATAGAGTTAACATCTTACACATGGGCTTTATTCAACAGTCAGCAATGTAAAGCCTTTAAATTACCTATAATGTACAGTACACATGGTTTTGTGTATGTATATACATTGGAATGTAGAAGGTATATCATAATATATAATGCACAATAACTCAGCAAATATAATTCTGTATTTTTATTTACATAAAATAGAAATATCTGTAGTTGTATCAGGAGTTCTGGTGGTGTAGAGCCTAAGGCATTTGACAGTTAACCAGAAGGCTGGTGGGTTAAACCCACCAGGCACTCCTCAGAAGGAAGACTAACTGGGCAATCTACTTCTGGAGAGATGTTGTTGTTATGTGCCATCGAGTCGGACCCAACTCATAGT